CGTATGAGTACGTTTAAAACTGCAGGATATAGTTTTAGTTTATAAATAAAACATATAAATATACGTAGAAAGCAGGTGACGTGTAACAATAAAGTGTTATGCTATTTATTACATTATTATTGTTAATTTCCGTCAAGGCGTTTCTATTTCACTTTACTACGCAATTATATTTATTTAATCTATGTATTCTGAGTAAATAGCAGGTTATATCTTTATTATTATGTATATTTCCGCGAAACTTATTTGATAAAAACAGATCGCAGTCCGTACCTACTTACTGAAGACTTGTTAAAAACATGAAACACCGATGTTTTCAGCACTAAGTGTCATTTATACGTAGATGAAAATAAAAGTGAAGGGGAAAGGGACTAAGGCTCATCAACCTTTGCTTATTCAGGGCTAGCTTAGAATTTCAAAGACTTTCTTAACAAATCAGATGTTACGTGTTTATCGACGGCACAGATCGCTTATCTACTATCAGACGATCCTTGCTCTCTAGCCTCTGCTCATCAGCAACTTATACTATGAAAAAAGTAGTAATGTGAATGTTACCTGTCGGCCGGGTTTGTGCGGGCGGACCAGCTGCATGAGCCGCATGCGCTTGGCGAGCAGCGCCAGCGAGTCCCCCGCCCACGCCGCCAGCAGCCGCCGCCCGCGGACCGACACCGCCACCGCCGTGCTGCCGCCGCACGCGCGCTGCGGCCGCAGTAACACATTCATATCAATACAATTTTGTGTACTTCTTTTATAAATCCGACTTCAATCGTCTCTTTATGTTGAAGTTGGTTAATTAATATACTCAATCCTTCTCCTACGTATAACACAACAAAAACGCATCAAAAATCGGTTCAGCCAATCGCGAGATAATCGCGCACAAATATACACACACACGATCACATCGAAACGAGACGGCGTTCTGTGCTCTGATTGGTTTGTTCATTGGAGTCGGCCAATCAGAGCGCCGAACGCGTACTCGTTACGTTTACTTTAAACTTAAAAGAAACTTGTACTAAGGCCTCTGGTCAAACTGAAAAACTTCTTTTTTGAAGTCGATTAAAAAGTCTTCTGTTACTATGTGACTGACAAGTTGTCAGTAACAATATACAGTTGAAACCAATAGGCCTAGGAATAGAAAACTGTTTAACATGCTAGATAACAGTTAGTAACAATTAAAACACTATATTCTAACGCTTGTACTTCCTAAAACTGCAGCCAGCCTTAGAGAGACGAGCATCAGCGTTCCCTTAAGCCACATGCCAAAACTGCATGGCAAAACTCTTCAATTTAATGATGAAAAGACACTACTTAAGTAACGACTATAAAAAAGCTAACTGAAATATTGTCAAAACATATTTTTACTGTTGATCTTTTGGTTAGATGAACACAACTGAATGTGATATCTAAGTTATGAACAATATTTTATTGTCAAACGAACATGGTTTCTGAAATTGACTGAGTTGAATACAATGTCATACTGTTCTTAGAATTAAAATAAAAAAGTATTCTGTAAGTGCAAGTATGTAAGAGTTATCTATCAGTTTTATGACTGTAACTTTGTGTATTTTACTTTAGATATCATGTTACTCGTAGTATCAGTAAAAGTTCTTCCTTGAGTTACAATTTTACGACCAATATCATTGTACCATTTTGTGCATACTTTACTATGGCCGTCCATACTTCTTATCTTGATCCATATTTTTAAACTAAACATAGACATTGTTCCTTAAAATAGCTTAGCATCAGTGACTCAAGTTCTAAATTCATTACTATTAAGTTATACATACAATTTTATGTCCATAAATGGGCTTGAGTAAATATAATAATGCAAAACTATGAATCTCATCCACAACAATATTTTATTGAGTACATTTCCGCGTCCCTACGTGACAGCGATAATTTTATTGTAACGCTATAATATATTCCAACTGTAAAGTCGAGAATAGAATAACATCTAAAACAAAACAAAACAATAACAAGTCGACTGTGCAGAGCCCGAGTTATTTCCAAGAACACAAGAATCTTAATCAATTTTATGCGAGTTTTTTGCTATCGTTGCATTTCAGCGGAGACTGTAACGGTTTTTTTTTCAATGATAAACAGAGGTCACCCCGTTCATTCGAATTTCCATTTTGTTTCACAATTATATCTGTGTTTGTAGGTGTTATTACTAAACTGTATTAGTCATTTTAGTTTTGGTATAATAGCTGTGCAATTATAGATATACGAGCTCGTATAATTAGCTATGGCATGTGTTTCATATAGATGGAAATATTAAAAGTAATTCTTACTTTATTGGATTACTTAAATAAGATCCACAGATATGATATCTTTTAAAAACCTTAAATTAATACAGTATTTTTCTTATACCAACGCCCTAAGATTCTAGTACCCAAAATCTACACGATTAGTTTAGCGTATAACTTGCTTAACATATCAACACATTCTCATAACACCCTTTCTTGTTTCTCTCTTTCTTATTTCAATTTTACTGACATTCCGAATTCAAGCGAACTTCAAATACCAAGACAGTACAACCAAAAGGTTTATAAATCCTCAACATTTTCAAGAACTAATTACCTCCTGATTACTCTTCCGTATGAACTCTGCATCTGTCCTGAGGAAGGCGTCCCTCATGGCTCTACGGAGGTCGGTGGTGAAGTGTGGACTTTCTACCAGGTACTGGTGTAGGTGCGCTGCGCAGTACGTCGCCGCCGCTGAGCCGGCGTGCCCGTCATACACTGCATAGAAGCTAGTCGATTCTGTCGCCTGGAAATTTTAAATGAAGCAATATTAATTATTAGGTACACAGACATATAAAATTATGAGTACTTAGTTTAGATGGGAGACCTACTCGGGCCAATTCTCGTCTTCCTTAAGGCCGGGAATGCACTTGCCTCTGGTATTGCCATAGGCTAAAACAGCTTACCGTCAAGTGATAGGTAAGTACGTCTGCTAATTTAACCCACAAGTCATAAAAATACTGAATAAATCTGTTCACCCTAAGTAAACGATCATATTTATATGCTAACCTCATTAAAGAGATTCATTAATGCCATTCATTAAAGGCCAGGTGCAGACGTGCGGAGTAATTTTAACTGGCGTGCTAGTGTGACCAGATGTGACGGAAGGATTATGTAAGGACATAGCAGGTGGTGCTTAATAGATTTTATTGTATGCGCATGAACATTGTAGAGATAATGCAGAGTTTATACACACGGGACGATCAGTAAAAGTAAAAATACTTAGTGAACATTTGAGATGAAAAGTGAGTTTTGAAACGAGCTGCATGAACTGATCCAACGATTATACCAAATAAATATTCTAGTTTGATAAAGATATAATAATGAAGTGACTGAGCACGTGTAACATAACAAACATACCATTGCATCGTCGTCCGCATCACCGTACGGTACCTAGCCCTATACATAGTATACCATTTAACAGAGAAGCATACGCCATTCATAAGTACCGGGAATTCATAAACTTATACAACGCCTGTTCCGGTGCCAAATGTGTAGAGAATATTGCGTGATGCACTTACGAGGCTATAATCCTCATGTTATAGTGATTTTCTTTTAATTTGTAGTAGACACTTACCACTACACTGCTTGACATGTTTAGGTGTACAATTTAATTTTCAGATGGCATTAAATAAAATCTATGCATCATTTTTGACCAGTAACTGTTCCTCAGGCGGAATAATAGATAATATACTATAATTAAAAAGTTTTTCAAAATTATTGATTTTCAAAGATATTGATAGATAGTTATGCAACTTTAAAGTGACCTTGTGTCTGACTAACCGTGCGAATCATCGGATTTAAATAATGAATTTAGCAAGTCCACCTACACTTTCAAATGAAATGTTATGAATCTCATCAATGGCACTTACATCAATTCCAAAAAGCGCTTCTAAATTTCCGATTTCCACATGTCGGTCTTCCATGACGCGTCGTGAATTCTTGGTGGCACATGATACAGTCTTTAGGTCGCGTTGGTCGAGAGGCGGTGGGGGTGGCAGGGTGTCCAATTTCGAGTTGTCTAAGTACCGGAGGCAGACGTCGTTGACGCGAGCAGTCACTGCTTGCATCAACCGAAGGGCTATGTACACTGGAATGAGGAGAGATTAGAGGTAGAATCAGATCATGTTTATATTCGATATTGTGTGTTATAATATAATAGACACGTGTCCTTGCGAAAACTTAATAAGGGTAGTGTAAAGTGATTGTCCTAGATTTATAAAATCGTATACAATTTTATTATATCTTATATTAAAATTGGAATGGATTTAATTATTTGATTCAAGTCGTTCGCGCGGATACATGAAAAATTAGGTATATGACCGTTGTAGTAGGTAGGTACACTTTCTGTTACCATTCTGTTTGTTTATTAGTTAATTTTGCCAACCCTAGTATGTACGTGGGTGAATTTCAAGTTATAAAAATAAAATTGATTATGTATAATTCCCCATTCATACAATCTTATATATTTAAGTTGTCACTAATATTTATATCCATTTCTATATAAATATTTCAAAACAGGAATTTCCAAATAACAATAATAAAATTGTGTCTAATTATCAAAGCGATAGCCGTGCTGAGAATAATATCGGTATGAACCAAGGGCAAATATTGAGGGAATGAATGAAAGCAGGAAAGGGGCCGATCCAGGAAAATGTTACGCTAACCTCTAAGTCTTGCTTACAAAAGGGTCAGAAAGTACTTGGCATGGCTTTCTTATTAACTAGACGGGTGATGAAGGACTGCAAACAAATTTACCCACAGATCTAAGTAAATGAGGCTGTTTGAATTCCGCCTACCCCAAAACTATCTCACATCATATGAAATGTATTAAAACAATAACAGTGAGGTACTATAGCTTCGCTTGACCAATAGGAAAATATCAAACCACTAAATCAACGTTATAAACGACTCCAGGAAAATGTTGCGTGGAAAACAAAATACCATTAGTAATAGTAAATAGGTACCTACGTATTATATATTTCTAAAAAGAATGGCTAAAATTAACGATAAATATAATTATGAAGAATTTTAAATATGACGATGATGACATAATCGTAAATAAGTTTTTCTCCTGATTTTTTCTAGTTGTACTGAATGATTTTCGAATGTCGAGTTCTAACACTTGGTTTTAGTACCTTATAGAAGTTATTTCTTTACAATAGGTACCAGAAAGTTGGCATTTTACAGAAAACTAGGTTAATAGAGATGTCCTATTGCGATTTATCTACATCGTTAATTATGGAAATTTACATACTAATTTACATATCATTATTTTCTACAATAATAAAAGTCAATTTCAAGAACGGTCGTAGTAATTTATATAGCAGAGATGTACAGATTTATACTGTCATCGATTAAAGGCGTCGCGCCGTCATGGATTGGATATCAGATCAGTGACACTGTATTCTAATGCAGCACTAAAACCTTCATTCAAGCACCAGTATTGATATTCCTATAGGGTTCCATTCAACTACTGATACGTCGAAGCTTTACAAATGAGGCTAATTAATACAGGACAACAATGAATAAGACTCAGGATAAACAATGACTTGAGATTACATTCATGTCTTCATTGGCTTTCTAGCCATCACATTTTCCATCGTATCCAAACGACCTCTTTCTTCAAGTCTATGAACGATAGAAGTGCTAAGTGCATTTAAAATTAATCGAGTGATATTCGATTAGATTATATTTAGAATCGAGTTGAGTGTACCGAATGACGTAACAGAATCAACAAGAGGTTGTATGATATCATTCTCTGCTAGCGTTTGTCTAGGTAGTAGCCAGTAGGTACCCTAAACAATAGCAACATTACACACTATTCTATGTCTATGAGATGGTCACTAAAAGCGGTAACGTTACGCAAGTAGGTACACACTAAAGTCTTGCCAAGTGGTTTTGTTCCTCAATCGATACAATTATGTTCATTGCGTCAGAGCATTAAAGTGTTTGATGAATCGTTACATAACCATAATAGATCATAAATGGTTACTGGACTCCTGGTTGTTCCATAAATTGATTCATAGCGAGTATAATCCGTATGTATAATTTAAATTCAACAACTAAAGAAAGATGTTATATTATTTTTATACGGTCAGATTTCCCATAACTCATTGATTACAATGGGCTTACATCCTCTGAAAAGAACCACCAACGATTCACTGAAGTATCGTGAACTAGGACAAGTGATAAATCGATATTTAGGATACTACTAGCCATTATTTCACATCGGATTCAATCGGACGGCACGGCGTTGCGCATGAAATTGCCATAAATAAGAGAACCTACTATCCTGCGTAGAATAAAATATGGGGCGCGTTTATATCTGTCTGCGGCAATGCTTTCAAGAACTATTAAAACTGAAAGGGACTATAGTCATGAGCTTTATTTATGAAACAGAAGAAATGTTTGGTAGATACAAGTAGGTATATCCATAAAAGGTTTAGCCGCACAGACTTTTTCCGTCGATTTCATCAGACGTCAAGGCTCATAGAATGCCATTTATCTAGGTTCACCTATGGTAGTATGTCGCAAACTTCTAGTCACTAATGACATATAACACAGCCAGTTTGGTTGGAATTAAATTTTTCTAAAAAAGGTGATGTTACATCTATTTTTGGTATTTATAGTCCTTTAGAAAATAATAGATGTCTTATTATAACGGTATTAAAGATGAAAATAGTACAACATACCTGATTCGTCAGATTTGTACCCAAATTCATTGGGTTGTTTCTTCGATGCTACTCGCACCTCGTCAAGAATAATCCGCCGCAGCGGTGTCATCAGTGTTAGAGGACATTGTCTGTAAACAAAAAACGACAACATTATTGACATCACGAGAAGAGAAGAATATCAGACACATTCCTACCATACGCAGGTATTGCGACGATTATTTCATACGATAATAAGAATTCAAAATGTGATTTTGTTTGGAAATTAAACCTTCGATGTTCGATTGACATAACGAGAGCACTAAATTACTAGAAGAGTGACATATTAAATAAAAAATTATTTCAATAATGTATTGAACTAATACCGAATATACTCAGGTATGTCCTAAAACTGCGCCCAGCCACCTAGAAGTGGGTTCTAGCATTCTACTTTTTTGGTAACATAATTGCGATCCCCAAATCGTCTGCTTAGCGTTACTAAAATTATGGCAACCTCTTTTAAAGAAGAAGTAAACATAACGCGAAATCGAATCCGAAACGAAGTGATCCGACAGAGAACCAAAGTTATCGACATAGCCCAAAGGATCAGTAAGCTGAAGTGGCAGTGGGCCGGTCACATTTGTCGAAGAACCGATAACCGTTGGGGTAAACGTGTTCTAGAGTGGAGACCGCGTCTAGGCAAACCCAGTGTAGGGCGCCCTCCAGCTAGGTGGAGTGACGACATCTGCAAGGTGGCTGGCAGTGGTTGGATGAGATGAGCTGAAGACCGAGCTCAGTGGCGTGCCATAGGAGAGGCCTATGTCCAGCAGTGGACGAATACAGGCTGATGATGATGAAACATAACGCAGCTAATGATACAAAATTTCACTAACTACTTTTCTTCATTTCGTGACTTATTAGGCTGCATACTCTGGAAATACCTTGTAAGTACACTTTAAATCCAGAAAATGGTTAAAACTCAGATGATTATCCCAATAATGTCTGCGTAAGGCGAAGTTAAGAAAAGGCTTGTAAACAAATAAAGGATAACAAAGAAGTTTGTTTATGACAGCGTAAAGATAAAAATTCATTAAACAAATGAGAATAAAAAGGAATGCATGATCAATTGTTCTCTTTTGCACTGTAAGTAAGTACAAGAGATAAACAAAACAAAGGCATCATATTTATAAAAGGAACTTCGCGTAAAATACATTACAGATTATCTTATGATATCCGATTCCGGATTTCCAGCAAAACAATAACAACGAATGCGACAACCTGATACAATGATACCGTTATCAATTCGAACGATAAAACAAATATAATAAAAACTAGTTTAACAATTCAGCCAATAACTTCGTTCACAGTCCGTTAGTAGTCATACATACAACAGCAAAACATTTTTTGTCCACAATGGGCTTTTTATTTAGTTAAAACGAATTTCCGTGAAGCCAACAATGGCCAAAAGTGCTAACAGCTGCGAAAGGTAAAAAACGAGCCGCTAAATGCGTAACAGAGTAATTCAAAGCATAATTATTAAGTCCACATCTACGTTGCTAGTAAAGCTCTTTATATTGGACTCGACAACCATAATAATTTATACAAAATAATACAATACACAACATAAACATACAACTGAACAAGTTAATTTAGATCAGTAACTACAAATTCAATACAAGTCACTTTAGTTGGCAAATGGCTAAAAGCCATCAACAAACACTATTGGCAGATGCGTTCATTAAGGTGGTTATTAGTTCAATAAAAACATCAAATAGATAGATTAGTGTTTATAATCAGCACGTGTTAGACTTGATCGTCTACGTAAACATAGCGTAACTATATTATTTCATTGCAGAGTTACAGAGAAACTTTGTGTATGTATGATAGACATAGTAGACCATTTGATAATATTGTCGATCTAATAAAGGTATGAGAGTATGGTATAAGTGTACAATTTTTTTATCAAGCAAGCCTGTTGTGATTCAATCTCATGTCATCTGTAAAACAGTGAATGCAGTCATAGTCGTTTTCGAGTATTGAGCGTAGGAAATAAGTATTCCGATCTGACGAATATACTGCAATAAAATAGCGTGCGAAACTCATTTTAAATGTAATGTTTTGATTATATTAAAGACGGTCTCAAAAATAGACACCTATTCCGCAAGTATTACAACCCACTCTTCCAGTTTTAGTCGACTTAGGCGAGACAACTCATATAGGTGAATTTATTATTCATGCACCGCCTTCAAACATATCATTTCAAAGAAATGTGTATTTTCATGTAGTTTATGATTTTATCTCGAGTAGCTAAATCAATATTTGTAAAACAAGTGAACCTGATACGAAAGTACATGAATACATGAGTACGTAATTTAATGTCTAGTTTACAAACGATGAAAGTTGATAAGAAAAAAAATCTTTTTTAAACAGTCAATACTCATTTCCAATCAGAGGTTAACCTTTAAATGTCTTATAGACTGCAAGGAGTATTTTGTGCGATCCGAATAAGAATCGGATGGGTTCAGAGTTAAGAAATTCTGCCAATAAATAGAGCAGGCCATCTCTTCCTTAGTGTACCGTGTAAAGCGCAAAGGCGACTTAGGAATTCAGGTAGACGACGGCCAGAAACAGCCTTCTTAACTTTGCGAAAACCTGTTTTTCTTTATGATTGTGGAGTGTAAACGACCGTTGGACCATACATCGACAATAGTTCGCACAATTATATCAAAAGTTGACTAGCGTAAGTATAAAGCCGGATATAGAAATCCATTAGGAGCTAAAAATTCTGCTCCATGGGAAGCTTGTCGCCCGGAAACCACCAATAGTGTAAAACTAAAATACAAACTTGTACGTCAGGGCGCTTGGGATAGAAAACAGACTGGCAACAGCCGAACTAATAAAGCCGGCTAGAAGAAATACATTGTGCAGTAGACAACGTAGAATATCGAATCAATGAAAGCGGTTGGTAAACAAACCAGGCGGGCGTTCACATCACAGGAACATATGTTAGTTTCCCTCGGTTTCGATGCCGTTGTAGTTATAAAATAAAATGCGGACGTGTACGTCTGTCTGTACAATACATAAAGAGGTCGATGACCCTGTTCTTAAAACGAATGCATGTACTTCTCTCTGAGTTGACACAATATTTCAGGCATAACTGTCGTATACCGTAGATTATATTTGTTCACAAGGACGCAACGTGAGTTTAGCTGGAGCTAATTCCTGAGAATATTCCGGTTGGTAAAACAAACTGAATTGTAGTAATCGTATGTGAATTAATAATTTTTAAAATACCGTCAACATTATCAACAAGCAAACAAATAGTTCAAACACTTTTTCAGACTTTTGTTGTCGTATCGTCACAGGAAAAGGAAACTAAGAATTGTTTGTAGTTTTATAAAAGCTTCGGTCAGTCAGAGACTTTCATTTTATTAAAATTACCAAATAAACATTGCAGAGTTGTCGGTACTTTAGGCCGCGTCAACTTTCTTCACTTTTGTATGGAAAATAAATAATTTCGGCAAATTCCTTTTGAAAATGAATTGTAAACATTTGAGGAGTAAACAGTGCACAGAGCGTTGACATGGGTTCGCATTACTATCACGCGCATCCGCATCTACCCACGCGGTCTCGCGCGCCAATTTATGCATCGAGGGTACCAATCCTACGACCTCAACCCACAGGCCCTAGAGAAATTATGTTCGCTCTATTACAATCGAAATCTTCCTCAAGAGAAAGTATAATCAACATTTTCTAACTTCGTGCAAATGCAAATGCAGACGGATGATTCGAATTGATGACCTCAGTCTTCATAGATTGCCAAGTTTTGCAAGTCTATTTTAAGCTCGCTGCAAGATGCTCTAGACGTATTAGGTCAATCGATATTTGAAGTTTTACAAAAACATTAATTTGGTTAGTCACTAGACTTTGCAAAGTCGACAAGAGAGTTCATTGTTATGATTGCTTGAACCCTCGTCTCACGAGTTTAGAGTTTCAAACAAAGCCTAACGAGTAAATGCTGACGTTGTATTGATATGGCATTCAAACGGTTTTCTCACGAGTTAGCAGTCTCCCGTGGTGTTAAATTATTCTGTCTGCTAGAAAAACTCAGATACGTGTAAACAAATAATAGTTATTTACTTAATACTTTATATTATTCGGCACTGAATAAGATACTCTTCTACGTTACTAAAACTATGTTTATTGGAAACATTGGACCATTTTATGCTTATTGGTTTCTGGGAAATAAATTTTATATCCTGGAAGATTGTTTTGCCTGGCTTCCTGCACCGTATTTCTTTACCCCTTGAAATAAACAACTGCGTGCGATTAATGCTGTCTACTACATACATACATACATTTTGCTACATTATATTCGATCTTAAATAGGTTTCTTGTTCTACAATATTCTTGCCATAAATATCATCGCAGTTGAAGTTCACTCTGGTTATAAAAGTGAAACATTGATTTGATCAACCCAATTCACAACGAATACAATTGTTAGAATGGAAACAGCAGATCAGTGGAATAATTTCGCGATTTAAAAAAATAAACAGTTACTATTACGAATGAGTCGATTTGTGAGTTTATTACTAACTAGCAACCCGCCCCGGCTTCGCACGGGTGCAATATGTATATACATACAAACCTTCCCTAAGAATCATTCTATCTATTAAAAAAAACCGCATCAAAATCCGTTGCGTAGTTTTAAAGATCTAAGCATACATACGGACATACAGCGAAAGCGACTTTGTTTTATACTATGTATTGATTTACGTAAAACTACTGAACGGATGTAGTTAGATGATTTTGCATAACTACTGATAAACCATTGTAATAGTTTGTTCCGATAGCAATAAAGTATAAATTACTTTGGAATATCGGAAAATGTATGTAAAATGTACCGTTTGTTTCGGTGTATGAGATATTATGCAAGACTAAATGGTCAGCGGCACCGTAACACACAATTTACGCCGTGTTACAGCATACGCCGGGTTAAATGGAGCGTCCAGTGAATTACACGTTAACTATAAGACAAGGCGTCAGTTGTGAGGTTCAAGTAAAGGGCTCGGCAAGAATGAATCATTGATTCGGCGGTTGTAGCTTAGTTTAATTTATAATCTGGCAGATAACTAGACACCCGTCCGCTATCTTGTTTCCTAATTCCTTGGTAATTGTGTATTACTAATAAGAATGACTACAAAGTAGGTAACTCCTACGATGTAATACCGACAATTGTAATATCTTTTTAGTCTAGTTCACCTGCAGATGAAGAAACAATTAACACGTAATAGTTATTCACGTAATGTAAGTTTTGCAATATGAACACGAAATATTGTTTACTTTCCGACCTGTTAAACGACGGGTAATTTAGATATTGAATGGGTAAATTGTGTGAGATACAAGAAACCATACAACCGTTTGAACACGTGTTACTTATGTATAGAATTGGTCATACATAACGAATACTTCTTAAGTTAATACATAATATAGTCATAGGATACAAAGGCGTGTTTGTGTGACGAGGCATTACCCATATATTTTTTATGTGGGTAACCTGACAGTTTCCTAAGTGATATGACGCATCGTCGTAGTTTTCCGCGTTACATAGTCGTAAAGGTGCGTAAGCAGGTACGCGGTATACGTGTGGTTAGTGTTTGATCACACTGCCACGCGCCACGCGGTCGGGATGAGTAACGCGCCCCATATGACCCGCCAACCATAAAACTGTTAAGCAAGGAGGAATTATTTTTTAACCCACCTCCATAATTACATGCAATAATGACCACACATCTATTATTATTCATCTGATATCTCGAAATATTTGGTGTTGACTATTGTATGTTTTGTAAACAAAAGGCATGACAACAAAAAAGCACTTGTTCAAATGTTTAGTGTACAGAGTACCTATAGAACAAAAGGTGGTCCCGGACCTTTTAAGGTTAATGGCCTATTGACAATTCCTTGTTGTATTACAAGCCTACTTACTGTGATAAGTGGATAGACCATATTGTGTAAATAGGTAAACTCATATATGGAATTACATAATGGGGTCATAATATGGATATTAACAAATAAATTTTTAGTTACGACAAAAATAAAAAAAAAACACATCCAATCTTAACTCGTTGAGCACCGTCGTTATAGACACAATTAACTCGTCGAGTACCGGTTTTGTAGACACAATTAAAGAACAATAGGTTGCGGTCACCGGTGACTGCTTGGTGTTTGACAGTTTAATTAGGATAAGAATTTCTAGTCAGTTATAAATAAATACTCAGCAGGTTAGCAGGCATTTTTATGAGGAATATGGCTAACAATTTTTTTTGATAATATTGTCTGGACTATCGGATAAGCTACATTAATGCAAAGCCAAATAAATAATTTAAAAACTTGAATATAAATTGGGATTTGTTTGCTTTATGGTTTTTTATAATGTAGCATGTTAAATAATTTCAACCACAGATTACATGCATTGTGGAAAGCAAGCTAGCACAATCAAAATAAGTTACTTTTATATTATTTTAAACCAAGGCTTTGTAGCAAAGTGGGCAGGCCATTAGTGATGAGATTTAGTTAGATCTATACAAAAATAATATTATTACAATTTACTTCCATTATGGTAAAATTTGTTAAATTAAAAAAAAGAATAATGCAATTTTTGAAGGTATTATAAAAACCAAATGGAACTCTATATTCTTATAATTTTAATTCTTATAAGAAGATCCAATTGGTTAAAATAATACCTCCAAAAGTTAATATATGCTCAAACGAAAAATAAGGTAAACCTAAGTTATAGTCTGTACTTAAGTCTTAGATGTTTAGGCTAAAATTAAGGTACCGTATCCAATTCCAGTAAAGAAGTATTATTCTAATTAGGATCTCCACACATCAATAAGAATAATAGGATGTTTCAGTTCTATTTGAATTTTAGTTTTTGCAATATGAATCTTGGTAAGGTAGGTAGTTGCATAACATATACACAGTATAAACAAATATCAAGCCATTTCTTTCCCTATATCTCCTTATCACTATGATTCAACATTGCAGTCACAGCTCTGATTGCCTTATCTAAGTGGTTCTAGCAATCTAACATACAGCCCTAACACAGGAACCTGTATTCTTTCAACTATGTTACCAATAACTACTCACTTTTCACTCAGATATTGAGTCGTCCAGTAGAGAACTTCACCGGGTAGTTCCGATTCCGTGATGGTATACCCTGCGATATGCACAGGCAACTGGTCCTCTGGGTTAACAGTAGCCGCAAAGTTTTCAAAAAACACTCGGTACGACGTCAAATAATCTTCTTTCTCACCCATTTTCGTTAATTCGTTCGAAATTAAGAGCTAACTTAATAATATCGTGTCAATAATCGATCAACAAACACTTGTAAATGATTACAAGCTAAATTGGAGCAAAGTCGGAGCTTTCCTACGAAATATAACTATTTAGTAAATATGAAACACTCTTTCACTACAGGAAAATTTGTCACCACATTATAGAAATAACTTATTTTAATATTTGCACTAATCTCAACAGTATTTCGTGATCAAAACACAGAAATCATCACATCTCGTTCATACTTCTACTCTTGTTGTCACATCCCATTTAGAATAAATAAATTATCTGTTCCACCAAAAAAATCCACACCCGATAACATTCGAAACATACGGTTTCATAATTTACATTCGATTTATATTTCTTATTAATCTTATTTAATTTTGTAAAAAATAATCTATTAAGACAAATATTTAATTATTATATTATTGTTTTATTGATATAAAAAATATCAATAAAATGTTTTGAAGCAGATCAGTTAAGAAGGTCAAACATAGTTTCAGGACGAATTTTTATCGACGCGAATGTATAGCAGTGTTGCAAACACGATTACCGAAACTTTGGCGCTATATTTGAATTTTATCTCTCGGCAGAAGAGTGAAAGTTCGAAGCGTAAAAGGAAACAGAATATTTTCGCGGTTTTTATTCAGAATTTCGTAAGTAAAGTACTATGATACGTAATCACTTCTCTGTCATCCACGAAGTAACGAAGTCGAAAGGGTTTATTTTAATTAACAAAAATAGTTTTATACAATAAATTAAGTAACTCTTGAGACCTTGCATTGTGAATATGATTGTAATTAGACAACCCGTATCAAATGAACTTTTTTTAGTTAGTTGCTTATCATTCTTGTTTTTGGTTTTGATAACAATAGTTATTGAATTTTGACTTAACGACAAAACAAAAAATCTGTTATGTAATTCGTAAGGTCACAGTGTTATCGATAGATTCGTTTAAACCACGTAGGTTTCGCTTCACTACCGTTATTGATGTTATTCTGATTGTCATGATGACAGTTTAGTCATATTAATCTGACTGACAGTTGACAATGCTTGTAAAAGCGGACAAAGTAAATTTTCAAACTTCGCACAAATAAATTAATTCCTTGTGTAAATAATTCCACTCATTGTGCAGAGTGACTGTGAACGTGTAGGTACAGTCTAATCTCATTATTTCTTTGTGGTTGCAGTAAGATCTTACAATTTAACCGTATTTTTCTCGTTTGCATCATTGTTTCTTATCACAAATGCATTATCAATAAGTACCTATTTTCAGCGTACGTGATTGATAAATTAGTTTGATAAGATAGTAATGGTAATTAAATCAGATTTTTCTATTTTTTAAGATCTCAAACAGTTGTTGGCAAGGGAAGACGTTAGTAAAATAAGCGACGATGATTGCCGGAAAGTATCAACATTACAAAAATGAAGACATCGACGATTATTTCAGTGCCGTCGGTAAGTGTTTTATTATTTTATGTGCCTAATAAATGTGCTAAATCATAAATCTATAAATAAAATAATTATTTGGCACCAACTGCAAAACATTTGATCAAACTGCAATTGTTTTGTTAATACAATAGGTATAGCTACATGTTATAATCTGCATCAAATCCAATAACATATATTTTTATTGTGACAGGTGTACCTTACATGGGCCGCAAAATGATGGCAATGTCATCACCACTGATGGAGATATCAGTGGATGGAGAACATATGACAATCAAAAATGTGTCCCTAATGCGAACAGTTGAAAACAAGTTCAAACTGGGTGAGGAGTATATTGAGAACATGCCTAATGCGAAAATAAGAGTAAGTTGTGTTGAAATATCTCTATATTCAGAATTGAAATAAAATTTGTAAATTAAACATCATCTAAACTTGTATTAAAATGAGTGTAATATACACTAAAAATGTTATTGATTTACAAATGGAAGATGTGCATGGATCACTAACATTTAATTATTATTTTTTCAATTTCAGAGTGTCACAACGAAGGTTGATGATAAAAAGATTGAAACTAAGTCAGTAGTGGAAGACACAGGTGCTGCATGTGGTCGCCTCTATGAGTTCACTGATGATGAGTGTGTCATTGTAAGTGAAGCGAACATTTTTAGTGTGTATGTAAAAAGATACTGGTTAACTGTTTCTTATCATCAAATGACTATTTAAATGTAAAATGATATGAATTTGTTGTTTAAACAAAGATAGCATTTACCGAAAATATTACCAAAGAGTATTTTATAACAAAATATTAATGTTATTATATTTCAGACTCTGACCCATGAGAAAGCTGCCACCCCTGCCAAACGTTACTTTCGCCGAGTCAAATAAATGGAGGATACTTAATCACAATTTTCTTTCTTCCAATAAGAACAACAAAATATTATAATTATACTTAACATATTATTATAAATGATATGTAAATGCTATAAGAGAACTGATATTTTTATTTCTTTTTACTTTTATATGTTATTTTAAATAAATATATTTTTATAACGGTATCTTTTTTATTAATTTATTATTCCAGTTTTCGACCTTCGTATGAACTTGAAATAATATACTATAATTTGTACTATAAACCCTTATCTCGTATTTCGTCATTGAAGGCAAACTACATATTAATTTAACCATCCTTTTTTTCTACGTCCTTGACCTACAGTTTGTGTTTAAAATGTGGGACGATAGCAAAAGCTTTTATATATTCTAATGAGACTGCACGAAAATACGCATAAATGAGTTAATAAATAAATATAAAGTAACTGATAGTGTAAAATACAATTAATAAAGATGCATTTCTTTTTACCACATTTTATGTATTTATGCCAAAATACCAGGTGTTAGGTTATAAAATTTTAAACAATATGTCAATATGTCATGTTCTGTGCTGCTATCTAGTGTCTAGAGCTGAACCCATTTCTTTATTTGACATTATGAAAATCCGACCAATGCAAAATGTCTTGTCATTTTGTTTGTATTCCTTTCTAACTTAAAGGAATAACCATTGCTTTTTCCGATTGGAAGTGTCGTCAGAAAATACCACGATTATATATTCATTCTTTCGTACGGTTTCGATTGATTTGATTTTATTGTTTTGAAGGTGCGTTGAACAGTTTTATAATTTTTGCGAATCACCCAGAGCTGCTGTTGTGATATCTACAGAAAGATTTATACTGCCAAAATGCCAGACAATACAGTTGCCCAATACCAGGTAAGTGGAAATTAATGTCGAGTCGAATGAAAAGTTCTTATTAGCACAAAGAAAATAATAGCGTCTTCATTGACTGAAAACAAGAAATCTGTCTATTTTACGTCGAAATGTTTTTTCAAAATTGTTTAATAATCATATTAAAAGAATCGGACTCGTGCACAAAGGCTACCGTACCAAGTTATAAAAAAGGGCAAAAGTTAGTTTGTTGTGTGAGAACCCCCACTTGAAATCTGTATCTTATAAATGATAAACCAACTACCTACATTAATTACAATACAGAACCACTAAACATGATTTTTTTCTTCAGGAGCAGCAGGTGAAAAAATTGAAAAGGTTCTTGGAAGGTTGGCGAATGGCTGTTATTCCATTAAAGTCCATAATTTTGTGGGAACAACAATGGCATCCTTGTGCTATAGTTGGATCTGTTTCTTTTCTATACTTTCTTATTTGGCTGATGGACCTAAACTCTCTTGCAACATTCGCTGTTGTTGGCTTATTCCTGAATTTTGTGGACTTCATAGTACCTGTGGTCTGTAATTCACTCTATGGATCAACTTCTTGGACAGGACAACACGAGAAAATGTATGAAGATATTTGCAAAAGCATTGTAGCGAACTACAATAAAGGCTTGCATAATATCCAACAATTCTATTCATTGAGAGAAACCAGCCCATGCATGGTAAGCACTTTCATACCATCATTTACATGACAAGAATTGCTTCAAATGAAATTGTATAATTCTAAAGTAAACAAAATATATAAGTACATTAAATTTCAATGTCAGTATTATTGTGTTTTAACTACAAACATAAAAGAGACAGGCGTTTTGAATTTTGTATTTTTTTTTCTTTCAGTACTACATACTGTCCATCAGCTTGCTGGTGACATTTGCATGGATTGCATCATCCATAAACAACATATTCCTGTTATACATGGTGTCTTCTGCCATGTTGTTGTGGCCCGGAGTGCGGAACAGAGGCATTTTCAACACCCTCTTGTCAATGGTCAACATGGGACCAAAATCTATTAAATCTGAATAAAACATTTTTTTGCTGTAATGAGTGTGTGTTTACCTAAGCAGGAAAGTACCAGCTGGAGTAATATGAGTGGCATGGCTTTTTGGCATTAATTCCGAGTAAAAGATAACTATGAAAAAGAAATTCTAAAAGAATTATAAAAATGTATATGGGCAGATTGCCTCTATTTCTGCAAATTAGTGCACCAAAAATAAAATTTAATTACAAAATGGTGCAATCTTTAAACATTAAAGATGTTTGCATTCGCTCATATCACTTTAGGTGCTACTTTTTTTGCTAGGGTAATGTACGCATATTGAGTAGCTTTTAATATTTAATGTGATTGGTCTGGTCATAAGTTTTAAGTTAAGCTTAGCTTATTGTGAGCTTTAAATTACTGTGTATGTGTGATATTATACTTTATGAAAATAAACAGCCAAAGCCTGACTTTTATTTGATTTCTATTTTTATAGAATAAGTGTTGTATTGGGAATATCTACACTTAAAATTGTGGCTTAGAAAATACAGACACTACATGCCAAAGCATTTCTTGATATGAAACCAAAAAGCTGGTTCTTCAACAAGAATACAAATATCGTTTCATTTGTGTAAGTTTGGCGACAGTGGGTTCTCATAGTCATTTTTTTGGAAGACATTTCCAATAGCTTTTTGTATTCCGTGAGTCTATACATATAGTCTTAAAACACGAATAAAATTGTCTATGTATACATAGATGACAAATCATTCTTTTGACCAAATTATAGTAAGATCTTGTGCCAAGCTTTTATTTATTTATTTCAACTTCATACAACAAGTGTGTACAGGTGGACTTAATGCCTTAAACTGTCCAACACCAAGCGGTCACCGGTGACCGCAACCTATTGTTCTATAATTGTGTCTACAAAACCGGTACTCGACGAGTTAATACTTATTTTTCTTATCAAAATTAAAGCGAAAGAGGTATGTAGGAATCGTAGCAATAGTCTCTGCCTACCCCCATGGGATCAGGCGTGAAGTTATGTATGTATGCCAAAATCGGACCAGGTTCAAATTCTCGTTGTCAGCTTAAATACTGAATTAAACTGCCAAACACCAAGCGGTCACCGGTGACCGCAACCTATTGTTCTATAATTGTGTCTATAATGACGGTACTCGACGAGTTAATGTTCAGAAATGTATTTGTAGACAATTATCACTAGTTAAGTCGTACGAAAACTTAAAGCATCTTTAGTTTTTTTACGTCCTAGCTAATGTTATCAAAATGTACCTTTTGTAAGTTTAGTACTCGCCATAGACTACTTTATCATATACAGTTCAAAATACCTAATGGGGGAATTTTTGTATAGATTCTCATGTAAATCCTACCTACTTCAGAAAAACATAATATTATCGACCCAATTATTTCTTTATTGAAACTTTGAAACAATACGTGCGTTCACGCTAACTTGTCTTCAGTAGTGAAGTATGAATGATATCACTTTTATAAGGTAACTATTTTTATGATTTCCCATTATTGGAACCAACTTTTCTTAACTATTGTTTAATTTACGACTTAACTATTTTTGAGATAATTATTACGATAATTCTCTATATGGTGGTTGTACATTGAAAAGAAACCCGTTTATTTATCAATTATTTTATTTTATTTTGATGTAAATTCTTAACTATAATAATACATTCAATATATCAATATCTTAACATTTTTAGAAAACTGTATTTATTATTTTGCGCACAGTCAAGCGAGTTGGTAAAGCAAAAGAAGCACTATTACAGAATATTATTGATTCACTACACTGCCTTTGATTCAGTCATATTATATCTATGACCACATAACATTGATACAATTATATTTATTTGAAACTTCAGCATATACAAACAACTAATTAACATGACTGTTAACTACAATTACAAAACCTATTCATTTTATTTTAATGAATATGCAATTAAATATAAGCGCACAAGAAAATAACATTAAAACCATCACAGCAATGAGTGTAAAAATTATAAGATAACTCGAAAAACATACGACAGTAGACACATGTATGTAAGCACGGGGTACTTAAAAACGGCGCATAAAAACGTAGTTTTGCTCTAAGCTAGCGAGATTGTTTTGATAATACTACACTGAATGCATTAATATTACTACTGAAACTAAAACACAAATTAGTTCGCCATTCGCCACACAGGTGACACGTCTACAGGACAAATGTAGTCCAAACTTAGGCAATTCTGTTGGACATTCTAACTACTTTCTAAATCATAAACTCAAGTATATGAGAGTTGTACTACTACAGTTATGTTTCTGACACAGTAAAGCCTGGTTTCACGTTACTTTTTTTAGCCTTCGTGACCGACGGCATGCCTGGCTCGTTACCCACCAAGTTATTAGTACTGTCGGTAGAAGTACTTGGCCTTAACAGGTCGTCTGTCACTAATGTAGTTTTGAACCTACTGCCTGAGACAGTCGCTTGAGAACTTACATTACTTTTTTGTGCACTACTGTCACTGTACCTTCTACTTCCATTGTTTAGAATTTCATTCTTTATAATCTTGTTTTTGCCGTCTTTGCTTTGCAAATTAAGCGAGTCTATGTTAGCGACAAACTGAGTGTTTTCTTTAGAAAACTTTTGTTTAACCTCATTGTCTAAGTTGTAATTTTTGCTACTAGATGGCATGTCTTTATGAAAACATTCTTTAGTTTGCTGTAAGCTTAGCCCGAAGAATTCAGTGGAGCATTTACTAGTGGACGGCTGATTGTTTTCCAGTTTGAGAGAACTGGCTGCGGCGTAGGTTTGTGGGCTCAGGTCGTTCTTGATCATCTTGACTGGCGACCCACACCAGTCTACTGAAAGCGTTCCTTCATCGTCTTCGCCTTCAGTACTCTGCAATAAATAAAAATTTTATTGTATTATAAAGAAATATGATTTCATTATAATTACGGATACCTATCAACAAATATTTTTTTTTTTTTATGGCATAAGCCGGTAAACGAGCAGACGGATCACCTGATGATAAGCAATCGGTGTCGCCCATGGACACCTGGAACACCAGAGGCGTTACAAGTGCGTTACCGGCTTTTTGGGGATTAGGAGTTTGAGGATCGTTGGGGATTCAGGGATTGGGTTTTTTATTCGATACCATAATTAATTCATACCAATAGATCGTGGTCAGTGATGGAGCCGGCGGTAGCCTCGTTGCTGTTGAAGTCCAGTTCAGAGGCTATCGACACCGGCGTCACGTCGCCGCTAATAGACGAACCTGTAACATTACGCGCAAAACGAAGACAACCATTATTAATTAAACTACGGGTATAAATCAATAATAAGGACTATATTGACCACCCATAATGTTTTAAGAAACTTTTAAACTCTTTAGCCTTTTTAATTCCTTTCATAGTCAAGCCAGCCGTCGAAGAAGCTTTTTGTCTACAGAAAAGACCGTATAAAAATTGACATTCTGTAATTGACTAATAATGTAGATTCTACTTAGATTCCACATTTTAAATAGTACTTCTAAGTTATTTTAATTTAATTCCTTAGACTGTAATCAATTTTTTAACTAATGTTTAGTTAAAATTGTAACTTTGCCAGTCAGTTGCAAACTCTCTAACCCAAGATAGTTTTTTATCCAACCATACCTATGCCTATAAAGCAGTCTACTCAATAGGAACTTACATTATATTGTCGCTTGATTTGTAAATATCAGCTTGATAATATATTATACATAATTATTAATGTTATAATATGTATATCATATAAGCTTAATTTTAATACATACTTAAATATGAAAAACATTAAACAGTAAAACAATTCATGCAAATTCTTTTTTGTTAGTCATGTTCTTTTGTCGTCTGATAATTTTATCTTTCTAAGCTATTCAATCATTCTCAAGACATATATAACCTTTGGCAGTAGAGAGTGCAGCGCATGCATGCATTGTATAAACATGCAAAGATGAACCATAAGTTAATAAATGTTAGGTTTATATTAAAATGGAGTATCTTTGTTACAAGCGACGATATTGTGCAACGTTTAAACTGTATTTATATATCAGAAGATCAACTTCGCAACATTTAACATTTCTCAACGACAGCTAAAAGCGCACGGCAGGCTTGTATATTACACGTCTTTATACTGTTTGTACAAAATAAGTTGACCGGTCGGTGCAAGGTGTGTAGCGCACTCAGCCGGGCGGTCGTGACTGGGCGGAGAGAGAGTCGAGTGATGCGTGAGGTACCTGCTACGTTGGAGTGCGGCATGAATGGGTGCAGGCTCGAGTCCAACGCGCACAACGTCGCCGCCTCGCCCTCCCACTGAGGGAGCTTGCTCGGCACATTTTTACTCCAATTGCTACTGGAATCCATAATGTTTAGTTACCAGCCTCTGTTCGGCTGCGCCTCGGTCCCAACAATCCCGACAATGAATGATACAAGCACCGACAAATGAGCTATGAATTACTGTGAACTGTCGCCGCCACACGTGAAAACAGAATGGTTCCGTATAGAGTTCACAAGTGGACGAAGCGTTTTGTCCGTTTGGTCCACTCGCGGATTAAGTATTGGAGAAAGTATAATCAAGTTAAAGAACTGTTCAAGTCTCACTTTCAGGTGAGATGTAACGATAGTCCATTAGATTACATTGAACAAATAACATAAATCAGAAAACTAACATCAAGCAACATTAGCAGACGTAAGTGTTTATAATACAAATCTAGTCAAGTGAGAGCGCTGTAACCAACAGAAATTGAAGACATCTTCCAGAACACGTTACCAAATTAAAACCAAAACAAAATATTGTACAGAAGAGTAGCACTGACTCTAATGTTCGGAAAACGCATTCAAGCTGGTTAACATTTCACTAAGTATTCAGCCGATGCTAGTTATGTAAGTGTTTATACCTTTCCGTGGACGTGGTCTTATGTTCCGAATTGGAAGCGTAGTTAGAGTTGGGCGAGGAAGGGCCCGCAGACGACAGACCGCTCGGCAGCTCGCCAGACGACGACATCAGCGAGGACGGACCGCTCCATCCCACACCTGCGGACCATAGCGTCAGTACGCGGGGCGCGAGGCGCGGGCGCGGGGCCGGGGGTGGGGACGGGGTGGGCACTCACTGTTGGTGGGCGACGGCTGCTTGTGCGGCAGCGGGGCCGGCGGCGCGGGCGGCGTGCCCAGCAGCACCGGCGCCGCCGTCACTCGCTCCAGGAAGGCGTCCAGCTGGCGCAGCGACAGCGCGTTGTGCAGCGTCTCCAGCGGCCGGATGGCCGGCACTCCGCCGAACCCCTCCACCGCGGCTGCGAGGCAAACACTGTCAGTCGGAGCCGGATTGATAGGAGCCGAGACCCGAGATTATGCTTACCGTTGCTGGACGCTGCCGTGGGGATCATGACTCGGAGGTTAGGCGCAGAGCTGGACCCAGAGATGACGGCCGTGCTGAAGAGGCCGGCGGCGG